GTTGCTTATATTTTTAAGAATTCTAAAATTTGTATGTAGATGTTTTAACCAAATTTTATACTTTATCTCTATAATTAAGAGTTTTATGAGAAAATATCTTGAACTTATCGTGGTATAAATCCCCTACGCTGCACCCTTACCAAAGGGGATGCATAATAATTCAACTTTCAACCCTTGCTAGTGGGGATATTTGAATCACTGTGAGATTGTAGGGCTTTCTAATATACGTTTGAAACAAAAAATTATTTTCACTTCAGTTCAGCTTCATCCTTCATCCCCCCCCCCTCCCCCCAACCACGGTAGGAATAGATATTTAAGAGGAATAGAAAATATTATGTAATAAGCGTTGTATTCTCTGACTAACTTCACAATCGCCACAAGAGCGTTTAAATATCTATTCCTTCCGCGCGGGGGGGAGAGGGGGAGGGGGGTAAACTGAACTGAAGTGAGACAATTTTTTCATTTCAAAAGTATATTAGAAAGGGCTATAATCTCACAGTAATTCAAATATCCTCACTAGCAAGGGTTGCAAGTTTCATTATTATGCATCCCCTTTGGTAAGGGTGCAGGGTAGAGGGATTTATACCACGATAAATTCAAGATATTTTCTCATAAAACTCTTAATTATAGAGATAAAGTATGAAATTTGGTTAAAACATCTACATAGAAATTTCAGAATTCTTAAAAATATAAACAACTCTCAAGCTCTATATCTTTTTTAATAAACATTTCACAAAAAAAATTGTGTATATTAAAGTTGTGTAGAATTTTATGGTCTACAATTTCTTTAACAATATTTTTTTCTAAAGTGAACCATTACAAAGATATGATTGAAAAACTAAGAAACCAACCAAATTTCAGGGGTTTTGAGGGTGGTACGGGGGAAGCACAAGGGGTGGGAGGTCTTATTGCTTAACTCTATTCACTATGTTTATCTTCAAACACAGCGCCATCTACTACCTTCTTATAATGAATGCAGTATAGGTCTCGAAACAGCTCGCTCCATGCGTCCCAAGAACCAATATTGTCTTGCATCACAACAATGCATCTTCCCACTCAGCACTGCAACCAATGCGTTTTTTGGAGCAGTCAAAGGTAACGTTATTGGACCATCCACCTTATAGTCCCGACTTCTTCCCGAGTTCTTCTTTCTATTTCCTAACAACGCGAAGAAAAATTACACTGTCATAAATGTGTGATAAATGTGTAAGTAGACAAGCACATCATGCACCTAACATATCAGTATGAAATTAATCCAAATTACCATTAAGCCCATTTTGTTACTAAATTCTAGTGACATTTGACATTTTCAGTGTGAATCAGACTTTTATGTTTACTAGTTAAAAAACGGGGTATAGGTAAGTACCTACGCTTGATAATATCGAAATTCTAAGTTAGAAATTTATACAAAAATCTCACTTTCCTGAGTGGAACTTAAACTCAATGAATAGATAATTAGTAAGTCGGATGCTTCCAATTAATTAATTGTACAGAGAACATCTTCAACGATTGTAGTTGATTGAAGTAAACAAGGTTACTACAAAGTGCCTAATGGGAATGAACTTGAAAATTTACAGTATCCAGTATGTAAGTAGATCTATTCCATTTTAATAATTGAAATCTAACCAATAATCAGTTCTCGATAATTGATTAACAAACCAGGATTAAACATATTTGACAGATGAGAAAAATTGTCCTTCCTACAAAGTTAATCGAATAGTTTAGATCTAATGTTTGCCATTTTTTCGTTTCTATAGTCTGTTTTTAAACACGGAAGAGTCATTTAAAAGCACTGATTACATATCGAAGGTCACTGTCAAAACCTAAACTATATTTTAATCTTTTTAATGCGATTAATCAGATGTTTGACTGTCATTAACTATTAAACGGCAAAAATCAACCAACCACACTGCGTAATTACCAACAGACCACTGTATTCCAAGGTTGGACGACCCAAAGGGTAGTTTTAGTTGCTGTATAATAAAGGTGAAGGTTTTTTTATTGTATGCAAAGCAGACCGATTGTTTAATGATCTTGATTTAGGGGTATGTTATCATTTAAATAATAAAGAGAAAACCTTTCTTAAAGATTATACTATATAAAATATTCATGCACGAACCCACTTAGAAGGAGGTAAAAGTTTTCCATTTAAACTCAATACTATAAGCAGCGGAAGTCTTCTAACTGAGTTAAACGTATACATTCTAAGATTTCGATTAGTTTTGAAAAGCAGATATTTCGTTTTTTTTCATTGTTCATTTGTGTGGATAATTAAAATTAGTAATTACAAAAGTAACCACATCCAATAGATTAGCACAACTTTGGCATTACTGTTTTCGATGAAAATTGATCTTTGAGGGGCTGTGTAACAGTGATCAATTTTCTTATGTTAAATACAACACCCTGTATATTATTCAAATTTTGGGTTCACCAAAACTTCAACTGTTTCGGAAGTTTATAGTATGCGGCATAGTAAAAAGAAAATGGTGAAAAGAGGGTTTGTGTTTGTTTTCGGCAGAGACTTTCCAAGAGCCAGCACGTATTATTCGTGTGTGAGAATTGAGTTTTCGCAGCTAATTTCGCTAGCTGTCACGTACCATCCTAGGTGCACTAAAACTTTAGTTTGTAAAAATTGATCAAGTAGCGATAAAGGTTATCAGTTTTATTTTGAGGGAAAAAATTCTAAACATGTACCTTGCTGCTAATTTTCAATCGTGTCGTTAAGAACCGGTAATTGAAATCAGATTGGTGGCAAAGTCTGAGTTATAGTACAAGATCCCACGTGATAAGGTCAACCTTCGCCCATTTGTTTACCGAGTGAAATAAATTTTTTAGCAATATTTGTAAACAAAAGCATTGCAAACGGGTTGCCTAAAAATATTAGTGAAGACTATCCTTCATTAAAATGAATGTAATTAATATTTCTCTTACATGGAGAGAGCATAATATGCGATGTAAATTTTGCATCCATCACGAAGATAACGTTACCGGGCGGTGGAGAAAGTCAACTGTACCATCGAAGCGATCTCTTTCCATATTTCTAAACGAAGTGACATTTTCCAGGGAATCATAAGATCCATTAGTTACCAAAAGAGAATATTACCCACGCCATTGTTTAAATACTTAACAAAAAGTATTTAAACAATGCCCACGCCAATAACTAAATTTTTTGATTTGTCTAAAGCAGTGGTTGGATATTTTTTGGAATTTACATAAGGAATTTTGTTCGAAGTAATTTTAATATTCCTAAAGGAATCGATCTATGAGAATTATGTGCATAGAGCAGTATTTATTGATAACAATCAAATCTAGGCAAGGAAGGTTATTTTGTTTCATTGATTTGGAAATTTGCATTTAATTTGCGTGATACCGTTCTTCTTTGAACAGGAGAATGTACCAGTAATTTATTATGTGGTAAAGATGAATTTTAAATAACGATCAAAGAATTGACACGTGATCACGAGACTGGTATTGCATTTCTACCACCCGCACCTTAGTATAAGGAAGGTATTGCAGAAATACAAGTTTTGAAGCACCAAGAATCCGAATCAAACAAAATCTCTATTATGTCGATCAGTCTATCGGTCTGTCTGTCGCTCTGTACTCTCATTTTCCGGCTGAACGGATTAGAACCAAATTTGGTACACATATCCTTAGACATAAAAGGGCAGAATCGCCCATGGGTAGGTGTGCGGGTGGTATCTGTGCTAGCCACAGCAAATTTTTTGTATTTTTATTTATAAGCCAAACTGATATTTTAAGTCAAATAACTTGGAAATAAACATGGCATTTGATCGCTTTTGTTTTACTTAATATATATTCAATCACATGTGTATTCATTTGAGCGCAATCAAACCAGAGCATCAGATTCCGAATTTCAGATTTTAAGAGGAGATAAGAAGTCAAACTTCCCCAAGGTATGGGGTAAAAGCATTTTTTATTACTGAGCTAGCCGTGGGTAAAATATATTAAGTCAACTTATTAAAATTACTTGATGACCAATTGTAAATTTCAATATTTTGAATCCGAGCTTAGATTGGCTTGGCTCGAAACTCGGCTTGCAACCGAGCCGATAGATGGACGTCCATATTTCGGATCGAATTTCGGCCCGAAGCCAGTTTTTAAAAAGCTTGACTCGGGTCGGCTCTGTTCCATCCCTAGTAGCATCTGCAGTTACAATTTTAAATATCTTAACAATCTGCGCAAAGTGGATCCTTTTTCAACAAAATTTGTCTACTTCCCACCTAGTAAATAAAATGCATCTTTATTGAGAGTTCAAATCCTGAGGCAGACAGACGCATATATTAGCGTATTGTTCACGAATAACACGCAAATAACAAAAGTGGTAATTGCAAATTACCTTTTCACATTTGAATATTAGATATCGAGAACATTTTTCCAGAAATATGAGTATAAAAGTTGCATGTTTGAGTTAGAAAATTGTTATGTACCTAATTATCTAAGTAAATAGTTCAAATCAGAGATCAATACCTAATTTGTAAATATCTCACGCGAACCTCCAGACATTCGATTAACGTGACGGGCGTCTGACTTTAATTTAAAAAAATGTCCTTTTCTTGTTTGTGCAGGGAAGATTGCAATTTACCCCTCGTTGTGATGGTTAAGCTTCAAAATACTAGTCTAGCTATGCGCACTTCCGAGATTAAAGGAACCGCTCGCCAACCTCCTGACCTATATTCCCAAAATTGATTGTTATTGTCGGATGGCGAAAAGCTCATCGTATAGTTAAATTAATCGTTCGCGATCGCACATTTAATTTGAAGGAATTTGGAGAAGTTTATTTTTTTAAATTCCTCGCGACGTTCGAGCAATCAATTTTGCTATTTTTCATATAAACAAATCATTAAATTTGTGAGGAATTTTTTAATATTTTGGATGGATGACAAAAAGCCTAGATAATAATTGTATGTACCTGGTTCAAATTTTGAACGGCAGAAGTTTCTTCTTGGAAAGTAGGGCAAGACAAAAAGTAACTTTACCTTGGCCAAGTATAAATCCCAGAAACTTCGAAGCCGTAATGCCAGGAGCCGGAATACGCTCCTTGTCCCTTAGGTCCGGTGCACACACCATGGCCATGCGCTTTCCCATCCTCCCACCCGCCGCAATAGGTACCCCCATCGTCGAAGTCAAATCTACCACCGTTCACGTGGCTTTTAGTGGTCGCCGTGCCCGTGGCTCCTGTCGCGGCTGGGGAAGACACAACTCCCCCGTTACCCACTTCCCCGCCAGAGCTAATGTTAACTTGGTTCGCTTGTTGCATACTTCTCTCTCAATTTATTTTTACACTAAATGAATTCACATATAAAATTATAAGCATTCTAGATCGAGAAAACTTCCAGGCACTTTTATTCCGTTTTCGATAATCAAGGAGTTCTAGTGCCATTTCACTGGCACTCAACACTACACCAAGTAATACACTTTGATTGCTCCAGGTATAAATAAATATCAGCTCGCCATTTCGATCGGTCGTACGGTAGTCGGCGCGGCACTGAATCCAGCCCGGGTACACCGTCGCGACGCTGGCGTACATGCGCACACTCACCTATAAATTATTCGTCATTTTCGACAATCGCATTGCAATTTCAATTTTAATAAAAGAAAAGCCGAAGAGAGCCTTACCAAATCTCTGAAATGAAATCTGCAGTTGTAAATCCGAAGCTGGCTTCATAGAGGATACGAACTTTAGTTTTAAATTCAAGCTCCAATGCGAATATAAAGTTTCCTTGGTCTTGGTTATATGTACATATTTTTAACTAAACATCAGTACTACCGCAATGCACCTTTGATTAATTTGTACACTATGTTGAATCATTAGAAAACGGAAAAAGTATGGATTATTTAATTTGATTAAACATAAGACACTTAAAATAGAATTTGAGCGTACGCAATTTTAAAAGTAGGTAAAAGTTGTCCTATAATTTGGCGCATACGCGCCGCATTGGTTTCATTTCAAGTCAGTCGCAAATCCAACAGGTGATTGAAATCAAAGTATGTGATAATGTCAAAATAGTAAAATAACTGCAATCGTTTACAATTTACTTAAAGGGCGTTTTAATCAAGCATATTCCGCTAGTTTAAACATTTGGTCGTCTTATGTATAGATAATATCGGGCGATCAAAAATGGGTGACTGTCGAGTCACCTTTGGAAGTTAAAAGAACGATTTCCCATGTAAACAAAAATTCCAAAGGTGCGACTAGGCGGTCACTCATTTTTTATCGCTATGTATGCTATAGGTCAGAATATTGGCACGTTGCACGTCCGGAAAATGTCTTTCACAAAGAGATCGATGATTGGTTAAAATTCACGTGGTTATTTCAATGGCCAATCACTTCTTGGACATCAATCTCTCGTGTTTCTACCGTTGTACCTACGCTTCCGCAAGAAAATAAGGACAAGTAGGTAGACACATGATTCATAATACCTAATAAAAAAAACCATTCCAACTTCCAAGATAAGGAAATAAGAATTAGTAAATTATGAGTAGTTATAAGTAGGTAATAGAATAGTGAGACAACCTTATGAAAAACAAGTTAAAAAGTAATCGTAAACGATTTACATAAAGCGCATTTCCCATTTGTAAGATGCAACTTCTGTTAAAATCGTAAAAATCCGGCCACAAATATGAAAGATAGCGTTGCACATGGGCAATCCATTGTTGACGTGTTACTTCAATTTCAGTTTATGAGAAGAATTTCATTCAATGCTTTTCTAAATAAGAAAGTTGGAACTGCGCATGCGCAAACCTAAATTTTAAAACTAATGTTAGATTTTCCTTTGTTCCAAGCGCCTAAGTATCAAATTTCACTTAAATGCTTCCATAGATAAAAAAAGTTGGCACTGCGCATGCGCAAAATAAAATTTTGAAACTGGCGCTAGATTTTCCTTTATTCCAAGTGCCTATGTATCACATTTCATTTAAATTCCTCCATAAATAAAAAAGTTGGCACTGCGCATGCGCAAAACCAAATTTTGAAATTGGCGTTTGATTTTCCTTTATTCGAAGTGCTTATGTATCAAATTTCGTTTAAATCAAAATTACTTACCGATCTAAAAACAGAACAGCAAAAATACTTACCGACGCCTTTTTAAAAATCAACAGTCTTACCTACATTACATTTAATCTTTAATTATTGTTAGGTACATTAAACGTACAATTTGTGCTGTTGTTTCCTATAGCAAGACGCTCATAAAGTCATAAAGGAAGTTCAAAGCTAGTAAACTACATCAGACACATGCACATTTTTATGAAATTATTATCTTCAATTTTGACAAATAAACTGGTTACCTAGTGATATACACCATACCACTTCGATCATTTCGATTTATTCTGCTCGTTAATTTCTTAGTGCATATTTATATTGGTTGCATAAATTTAATTTCGATCGCGCAAAAAATGTTATAAGCACATCGAACGTTAAGGGTTACCGTTCTCAGACAATAATTATTGGAGTCGTCGCTTCGCTCCTCCTCCAAACAATTGTCTTCGAACGGTAAAAATTCCTTACCGTTCTCCATACTTAATATACTATTAATACGGGAGTGGAAAATAATTAATTTTTTCATGTTCCCTGCTACTTTCATAGTTTTGCTACGATGACCGTGGACCACGTGGAGAAGAGGAATATTCCAAAAGCAATGCCTATGTTTTTTTAAGAATCTTTGGAAACAGGATTCAATTTGCTGCACGACATCATAAAATATGCTTAAGCTAATATACAAAAAAATGGAAAAATTCGTGATTCAATATTTGGAAAACTTATGAAATATAGCATATCGTGTGCTGTTATGATGTACAGTGTCTGTTGTGTGACACAGAAAAGACCTCCATCATCTTGTTCAATGTTCCGTTTTGAAGATTTAGATGGTGTTTATTTTGTGATGTAGATCACGTGCTATACACGGTAGTGGTATTCATTTTAGTACCCGCACGTTAAAGTAGTATTTGCATTGGTACACCGCACGCTAAAGTGGCACCACCATTTTTTTTTATTTAACTTAAATTTAATGAAGAAAACTTTGATTAAGAAAGAAAAACACAACAGTACCTATATAATACATATACAATGGTAGTGATCATATAAGAAATGGTCTGTATTTTATCAAACAATTTTATGGACAATGGAGGTTTACAGTATAGTTGAATTCCGCAGTTCTAATTTAATGAGCGTGTACCTGAAACCATAAAACATTTTTTTGGACAGTGTTTAGATTGCTTTCGTGTAAAATTTTTTATAATTGTATTCTTCTACAACTGTAAGGTAGGTACGCCACTGGAACAGGGAACTACTGTCCGCCATTTGCAAAAGCCATCGCGGTCGCACGTATATTGTTATTCTCCTTCCTGGTATTCTTTATTCATTGAGTCAATTAGAGAAGGCTAATTTTTACGTTAAAATAAACATGATCACGCGTGGTCATATCTATTTGCGTTCCGTCTGCTCCCTCTCACGAGATGGATTGTTTGGAGTAATTGTAATTTGTAACTCCTTTTACTCTGTTTTGCAATAAAAAAAACGGTGTCAACACTTTTTAAGGTGCGGAACCAATAAACGGAACGCCTTAGAGCAAAAAGGATGATCAGAACGGATGAACGAACGCACCAATAAATCTGAATGAACAAAGATTCTAATTTAATGAGCGTGTACCTGAAACCATAAAACATTTTTTTGGACAGTGTTTAGATTGCTTTCGTGTAAAATTTTTTATAATTGTATTCTTCTACAACTGTAAGGTAGGTACGCCACTGGAACAGGGAACTACTGTCCGCCATTTGCAAAAGCCATCGCGGTCGCACGTATATTGTTATTCTCCTTCCTGGTATTCTTTATTCATTGAGTCAATTAGAGAAGGCTAATTTTTACGTTAAAATAAACATGATCACGCGTGGTCATATCTATTTGCGTTCCGTCTGCTCCCTCTCACGAGATGGATTGTTTGGAGTAATTGTAATTTGTAACTCCTTTTACTCTGTTTTGCAATAAAAAAAACGGTGTCAACACTTTTTAAGGTGCACCAATAAACGGAACGCCTTAGAGCAAAAAGGATGATCAGAACGGATGAACGAACGCACCAATAAATGAATGAACAAAGATATTACTTTACAAACTTTTATGCTTTGATTATTTCACACGAGTGTATACGTGTATAAAAGAACTAGCGTCATTAAAAAAAAATAGGTGAGCGTCGGAACCTACGCGTAAATTTTAGGTCGGAACTCTGCTAAAGGGTAGCCATTTTTTATGAAACAGTCAATATAGCTGGTAATCTGTGCATCTACGAGACTACGAGTAGATATTTAAAATTTCAAGTAGGAATTGTTCTTATGGTAGATCAATGAATTAAAAATACCTATTCATTGTGGTAGACAGAGGTATAGGCAACACATTCAACTTTGCCGATTAATGAACGTACGATGTGCTTTAAGTTTTAAATTAGTGTGATGGCGCCTTTATTTCAAAGCCGTCACTGCATCACGCGTGTCGCTTTTGCGCAGTACTCCGCTGCTCTTAAAAAAATTTGTCGTCTTTGAATTGAATTGTTATCGTCTTTTGGTGATTTTTAAGGAAACTTTAAATTACTATCGTTCTAAATTTATTACTAAAAATGGTCGATTACAGTAAATGGGCAAATATTGAGGTACGTTCGATTGTATTGTTAGGTTATGGTCTTTCATTTGTATGCGAAATGTCTTTCTAATCGATGTTATTCCAAGATCTCGGATGACGAGGACGAAACCCATCCAAATATCGATACACCCTCTTTATTTCGATGGAGGCACGACGCACGATTGCAACGAATGGCCGATCAGAAAGTTGCCATAGAAGAACACAAAAAGAAGGCCTCCGAACACTCTAAGAAGTTATCCGTGGCTAGTCGGCAGTTGGCGGATGCGGAAAAATCGGGTTGTGGGGACGTTGAAACATTGCGGCAAGCGTTGAAAGATCTCGAAAAGGAAGCAGAGGTCTTGAAGGAAGAGAGCAAAGAGTTGGACAGCAAGGAAAAGGTAATTGTGATTACGTTTTTATTTAGATTTGCTGATTACTTGGCAGCTCACAAAAAGATAGCTCACTTGGAAATTGGTGTTCATGGTTTGATTGTCAAAGATGTGCATTTGTGTAGAAATTTGGCAACTTACTACTTGCCATAATGTCGAAGTTTTCTAATCTGGATTCAATAGGCTCATTCTTAACGCATTTTCCCAAATGTGAAACATACCTAGTATGGTCGCTAAGAATCTGTTCCACAAAGACATTTTATTACATTGATCTCAAACTCCTGTACAGGGTGGCCAACTAAGAATGCGAGGTACTGTATCTGGAAGTCCTCTCCATCGTAGAGGCTTGCGGTAAAAAAAGTTATTACTAAAACAGCTACGAGAAAAACCTGGAAAATATTTTTAAGTTTCTGAAATGGCCGCTAGGGGGCTTAACTGCAATCTGGAATCTAAAGTCACTAAATATATAAATATAACTCTCGCCAGGAAAGATTGCCGGTCACAGAACACTTGATCCTGATCTACAATCTCTGTTTTTCGTAAGGTGCTAGCGACTTCCGGGATAGTATCGAGTCAGTGTTGAACGAAAAGACTTTTTGTTCAACATTAGCACGATCCTATTCCAGAAGTCGCTCGCATCTTAATAAAAACAAAGATTGAAAATCGACATAAGGGGTGCTGTGACCGGCAATCGGTCTACGATAATCTGAACCTTTTTTGTTTGACAATTTTTCCTGTAGGTATCTCTAAAAATGAAGTGGTGGGGAGTATTCAAAGGTTTCCGTAAAGAACACCATGTATCTTCGAAACGGCTGAGCCGATTTAAACAAACTCGGGTTAGTTCAAAAGAGCTATTCTTCAGCTACAAATATGATACTATTTGCTCGACTATTTGAATTTTGTTAGTTTCACATATCACCGCTTGAGGGCTTTTTTCGACATTCCGACAGAAATGGTTAATTTTCTCCATAAAATTAAACACATTGGTGCGATTTTTTTTCCATGAAAAAATAGCTAAATGATACCTATATTGCAGTGTTTGCTTTGGTATTTGCTTATAGGTCGATGTTGGAATGTCTTCAAAGATACATGTATAGATACTGTCGTGGATATTTTCATGCGAATTTTGTAATATTTCCGGCAATACTCAGGAATATTTGCATTACTAAGAACGAATATTCGCACACCAGAAATTTAAGAGAATATTTACATTCTGTTTATACCTAGTGGGAATTCTGGTGTACAAGCTCTTGGAATTCTTATGGCATTCATGGAATTATCTAAGTCTTTTATCACTTGACTTATGTTTCGGACTATGTTTTGCACGGGCATCCGTCACGACACAATTCAGTCTTCTCACGAGATTCTATGCGGAACGGCGATCTTTTTTACGAAATTGAACAATTGCAAAGAAAGTCCTCGTATTGAGCCAAATGATGCCATAAATATTTAAATGCTTCATGAAAATAGTTCCGGACACTATTTACTTTGATGTATTGTAATTAGTATATTTTGTAAAAGATTACCAAAATTCTAAAAATTCAAAAGTTCTAGAATATTCGCGAAGAATTTTTCAGGCAAAAACACTTTGAACATGGAAAGATCTAGTCATCATGTCCCATAATTGTGATATCAGGCGATATGTGTTGACATGGTGTTTATACAAAGTTTAAATGCAAAATTGTTTGCTGGTTTAATGTGCATAACGCATATAAGTATGTATATACAGGGTGTCCTATTATTTTATTAATAAAGGTCGCAGGCCATATCTATGGAATCGTTCATTGTACAGCTTGACGAAACAGATTGTGTTAAGGAAAGCGGACAAGAGAAATCGCTGGAAATTAGTTTCAAGTTTCTAGGTTTGCCGCTAGAGGGCGTAAAATTCATTTTTTTAAATATACCCAACAAACATACATAATAAATAAGGACAAATAAAGTAAATAAAACAAAGAATACATGCATGGCAGTCTTGTATGAATTTTGCATCATTTTGATACAGCAAATATTGCTCTCGTTCATAAAATATGAGGACTGGGGGAAGGGGAACATTTCTTTGGGGAGTTGAAAATAACTTCGCTCTAGGTTAACCAATTTTCACATAATCGGTCCTATTGGAAGGAGCTCTCTTGGTGTAATCAGATTTTACATTAATAGTCTTTTTAGTAAATGTGATGAATGGTAGAGGGCGCGGTTGGTACATTAACATTAAAGTCACTAGATATAGAAAGTACCGCAATCATCCGCCATTTTTGGGCAAATTTGCTGCCAACTTAAAAAAATTGACAAATAAAATTTGAATAGCTGTCATTTTTTATAACCTCACTTCATAGTACTGTCATGTTTTATAAAAATATATACAGATATCTCCAAACAGGTGGAACAATCCCTAACATTAAAGTTACTAGAATCTGGTAACTTCCGCCATTTTTGGGCAAAAATCATGCGTTCTCTCTCTAACACACGAGCCCAATGGATTGCGGTACTTTCTATATTTAGTGACTTTAATTAACATAAACTTTGCAGGTTTTCTTGAAAATTTGAAATAGAACAATATAATTATTATATTATATTATCAAATAAGATGAAAGAGTGAAAATATCAGTGAAAACCGCATTTTGATGTCTGTTTCCTAAGCTGAGATACTTATGGTGCACATCCACAAATTTAAGTTGCAATATTTATATACATCCAAGTTGACTTTGGGTCAAAAGAAATACAATTGCCACCGAAAAAACTTGAGGAATGCATTACTCACTCTCCTTGAAGTTTGGAAACCAAGCGATGGGCCGGCTTACATAAGCGAGCTTTCGAGGTACGAATTTGAATTGACCGTCTCAGGAAATAATTCTTATGATGTATTTTAGAATTTAAAAAATACCATTTTCGGCTTTACTATTGCTCGTCTAAAACTGAACCACATATTAAAAAAAACTACAGACTGAAAGCTTTTGGTATGGAAAAAAATGTAAAAATAGGAAGATTAATTTATTGTTATTTCGCAGATGCGAGCGTCTCAAATGAACCAGCCCGCCTTGCCACATACATCGGCGGTGTGGTTGAACATAAACGCGCCACATCTCCTCTTTGTCTTTCTCATTTGATAGGTTAGTTGCGTTTGTCGTAGAGCGATCGGTCGCTTTAGCGAAAAGTTGCGCAATTAAAGAGTTATTATCATACTGTAAAGATAACCAAAAAATTCCGAAGATATGTCGGAAAACCTGAAATTTCGCGAATTTGTTTTTATTTTATTCTGATGTTATTGAAACAAATCCAAAAAAGAAAAAAAAACATTCCCATTGCCACTCTGAGCTCTACAAGACAACGTTGAGAGATTTTTAATACAATGTTTCGTTTTGGAGAAATCATCAGCTTTTTTTTTATATGGCATGTTAAACTATGTACTGTATTGAGAAGCATTTTTTATTACAAATACAACCATGTATGGTACACAAAAAAACAAAAGTTGGAAACTGTTGGTTTTAACAGGATCAAATAAATTTTTGGAAAAATTAGAAATTTCTTCAATAGGTATTCTCGCACGATTAAGGGATTGTGCGCCCAGTCCGAGAAGTAGATTAAAACCATGGCGTTTAGTCCCATTTATGAACAATAGCATCAATTTTTGAGTGACTGTAAATATGACGAATGTCAATGATATTATTCAATTATGTGTCATTAAGGATCACTATGCCAGAAAAAATCTCGTGTACAATACGTTGTGAAAGGGTTATTTGCGTGTTCATGCAAAAAAGAATCACTTTTAAAACTAGTTGCACAAATGACTACAGAACAATGTTTAATATCGATTATTTTCTGTAGAAAGCGCCGTGGAATGTGGATACGATAAGTAAGGACGGATTTGCAAAAACTATCATAAACAAAGGAGCACCGAAACAACTTGAAGAAGGTCTTACAGATGAAGAGCGCGAAGAACAAATGAAAAAGTTTGTAAAAGCACATGAAAAGGATTTGAAGCACTATGGAATGCTGCGGCGTCACGATGACTCAAGAGTATTTTTAAAAAGTCATAGTCACTTAGTGTGCGAATATACCGCAAATTATCTTGTTGTGTGGTGTATCAATCTGCAAATGGAGCAAGTGATTATCGTATTTTGTTAAGTGTTGTAAATTTACGTCTATAGTTTTAGAAAACGGAGCTGATGGCACACGTGGCGCATCAGGTGATATGCATGCAATATATTTTAGAATTGGCTAAACAACTGGAATACGATCCCAGAGCTTGTCTAGATGCGTTCTTCACAAAGATTCAAGTTGCGGAACCCGAGTATAAAGCTGCGTTTAACGATGAGTTGGCCCAGTTTAAAGAGCGTATCAAGAAGCGGGCTGCAGAAAAATATGACGACCTGTTAAAGGTATCGCACATTGCATTGTGGGAAGATTTCATTTTTTACTTTCAGGAAGCTCAAGAAGAAGAACGGCAGCAACGATTAGGCCCCGGCGGTTTAGATCCTGTTGAGGTGTTTGAGTCATTGCCCGATGAGCTAAAAACATGTTTCGAAACGCAAGATGTACCTCTATTGCAAGAGACTATTGCAAAAATGGACGAAGATGAAGTAAGATACCACATGAAGCGTGCGGTTGATTCCGGATTGTGGATTCCCGATGCAAAGGCTGCAAAAAATGATAGTAAAAATGAAGCAGAAGCTACAGAAACAACATAACTCCACAAAAACCTGATCTTATAATGGGTGCTTTTTTGTAAGTGACTCGTGATGCAAGTGATTATTAATTGGGCACCCACAAAATTGTTGCGATGTAATCTTTTTTAAACAATGTACAGGTTGTTATGTATGTATATTTCGGAACCATCATTGATAAAGCATTATTAGTATATTGTAATTCTGATGTGTTTACTTTTGAGTCATGAAATCATAATTTTTATAAACCCAATAATGTGTTTCTTTTCATTACTTATACGGAATTAGTCCTTTGTGAATAATTCTAAAATGAGTAGCAAAATTATTAGTGCCTGTCCTGTACAAGTCCTGCTTTCAAGATTATTCAATGGCTAATCTGGCGACGTTGGGAATGATTGTTGCTTTATTATTGTGTTTTTACAGTTTCTTGTAGCAAAGAGTATCCACTCTTTGCTTGTAGTGTTGAATCAAAGATTAACTTAAATAGATTCGTCTCCGACCTGAATAGCAGAATAACTACTAAAATATCGAAAAAACCATAAAGAACATGATCATAAAAATAAAGAGAACTAATAACAACTGTTAAATCAAATGTTTTCAATCTTGGCAACTGTCAAATTAAAAAGTGAGGTATACAATGCGATCAAAAATGAGTTGCTGTCGAATCACCTTTGGAATTTTTGTTTACATGGGAAATCGTACTTAACTTGAACTTCCAAAGGCGACTCGACAGCAACTCATTTTTGATCGCCCGTTAGTCGATCCGTTATTAATATTCCTCACGTCGTTGATTAAACATAAACTATTCTATTAAACAAACTGCAAACAAATGAACAAAATACGGTACCGCAACGGTTAAGCGATTCTAGGTCTTATCGCCTACGTTAAAGAATGTTACTTAAGGTGAATTTCGCTTGCATCCAGAGCAATGCCTGAGCCCGATACAAATTCATCCGATTATTCCGATTGGATAACATTTTTAGAACTGCAGTTTAATTGCATCAGGTAGGCGTAAACAACATTACTGTAAACAAAACTGGATGCAAGCGAAATTCACCTTAATTAACATTCTCTGCCGTAGGCGATACGACCTAGAATCGCTTAACCGTTGCGGTACCGTACTTGTATTTTGTTCATTCTTATTCTGCACGTCAACAATAACGCGATGCAGTTTGTTTAATAGATGTGTTTATGTTTAATCGACGACGTGAGGTAAAAAAAAGTTAACTACATTTAGTGGGGTTAAATCATAAATACATACATAATAACGATTGACTATATTATTTTGTGAATGCCAATTAAGGGCGAGACCTCTACCGGCAATTAAAAGTACTAATTTCTTAAATGGTTAGAGACATTGAATAAGTAATCTTATTCAATGTTAGAGAGCTACTTATAAAGTTTTTCTAATGATTATACAATAAACAATATTAAAATAGTTTTTTTTATTCCTGTAGGCTCTTAAAACACAGCATAGGAGTGTCAAATGAGCTCATTTACCTACATCTATAAAGTGTGTATAATAGATAGTTATAAATTCAATGATAATAGGAACTGGCGGTTGGGTCATCTTTTTTGTGTTTCGTTAGAATTAAGGCTGGTCCTAATCCTTCACTCAACGGCTGGACAGTACATACAGAACGGAGTATGTAATGTTGCCTATTGTCAATCCCCAAATTTGGTTATTTATAATATTAATTTGTGTTCGATGGTAGAAACATACACTTAGTCCAATTATATAATGCACATTTTCTATCTTAGTAGGGGAGCTAGCTCGAAATCCCCTGAACGAGAATGATCAAAATTTTAACCGATGTATTTCTATTTTGCCCTATCCGAGTATGCTAAAATCGACCGTCTGCCGCCTTAGGTCATATGACTTAACGCGCTGCGGGTACTTCTTGCGGTACCAATTCTGAATGGTTGTTTTCCGAGAAAATAAGTTATACACCAAATGAAAACTTTCTACGGATATAACTAGGTTACCGTTGGATGAATGAAGCTGATTTTTTTTAAAGACTAATGATATTAGGTACAGCCAATGACTATGAGAGTTTTTCTTTTTTAAATTTTTTCTCTAATTATAAGATATTTAATGATGATAGGTAAGATAATAAGATAATCTTATAATTAGAGAAAAAATTTAAAAACGAAACACCGATAAGAAATTAGTACTTAGTACCTACCTATCATCAGTCTGTAAACAAAATCAGCTTCATTCATCCAACCGTAACCTAGTTATATCCATAGAAAGTTCATGAAAAACCGACTAAGAATTGTTTTTTTACGGAATTATCAAATGTCTATAACTTATTTTCTCGGAAAACAACCATTCAGAATTGGTACCGCAAGAAGTACCCGCAGCGCCTTAAGTCATATGACCTAAGGCGACAGACGGTCGATTTTAGCATACTCGGATAGGGCAAAATAGAAATCCATCGGTTAAAATTTTGATCATTCTCGTTCAGTGGATTTCGTGCTAGCTCCTCGTCTCTGCAAACTCAGAATCAACGAGGCACGTCCCTAGGGTAACCAAGGTGATGACCGCGCTATACAAGCTTAAGGATAGCACGGCCACCATCTTGAAGCGATAAACTAATCCAGTCTCATTTAATAGCTGATTTCGATTTCAGGGACATCCCTGACTTTAGACTTTAGCGAAAAGAATGGCTGATGACAGAGTAGGTGCTTATAGTGGTCTGCTGCTCTGCTCGGCCTATCTCCCGTACGACTCCAGCTCCATCTACGAGGGAAATGACTTGAGTTGATATAGTACTGCCGAAATGGTAAGCTCCTTCTTGACGGACGCCTACCATGCTGCGTGGAGCAGCATGAACTGGAGGCGGGTTGACCAATTTCTTGAGTACTTGGAAACAGTCAATGCCCGGGTGGTTGCTGAGGGATCGCTGAGATGGACGGTAAACACGTTCCGCTTATTTAAGAGTGCATGATCGGACGGGATATTCGCGTCTCCTCTGCAGAAGCACCTGGAACCGCTGCGTGTAACGGGAGCCCGCTAAGTGTTTAATTCTTTTTCAATTTTGGCATATGTTGAGGAAGCGAAATTAGATTAAGAATTAAAAGGTAGCCCAGCGACAGCTTAAGTGTAGGTGTAAATCGTTTTAAGACAGATAGTCGCGAAGTTGTAACATCACGAAATTTAGGGTATTAATAAAAGACAAGGATTCTCTACGTCGGTCGTTATTAAGTTTCGTGTTAAACTAAACGAAGAACTTAGTTTCTAAATAAATAAAAATTCGGGTATGCACTACGAAGAAGTAAATAACCAATTTCATCGCGGTGAGTGCATTTCAATTCGCATTGGGTAATTCTCAGCATCGTACTAGAGAAGTTGAACTTTCGTGCTAGCTGCGTGAGTTGTATTCGCAGGTGGACTTTAGCTACAGCAAATTAGTTTCGGTTTTTGTTCGTATAACTATAATATGGGAATCTATTCAATCTGGGGCGGACCGTAACTCAATTTTATCTGCATATATCAGACCATGTCTCTTCGGGTAAACTTCATATACCTACCACGAATACAAATCTTGACCTAGAGGGATTCTCAATCAAGACGGCTTGTATTGGGATCGATGCTACCTCAAGCTAAGACGAATTAGAAGATATTGTAAATTTTGTTATCCTATTGTAATTCAAATGCTGTTGTTTTGAAATCACTAATATTAATTTATTGATTTAAGTAGTTTACATTTTAAAAAACAACCCTTAGTATCGGTAACGTGTAATTTTCAATTAGCAAATAAGGTTTCTATTTCATGCGCATTTCAATAGGACTTAACTGGGGAGGGTTAATTTGGAATTAGTTGGATTATAATTTATTTTCATCACATGAGAAGATCAGTTTATGAAGCTTCTCCCATTTAAGTGCACAAATGTATTAGGGCTTTAGAAGTAAGACAGAAGATAGTTGTGAAAATGAACTTTTGGATAATTTTATCTTTATTATGCAACTGAGTGGATATAGAGTTTATTAAATTCGTTTTGAATATTACACGAATTTCGTATTTATTCTTTAATTAATAAGTAAATAATGAATAACATGTCCAATTAATTGTAAATTAACGTAGTTTAAGGCCTCTTACTGCAGTGGAGAATTGTTACATCCATCTTTTTCGCAAAAAGTACAGTTCTTGTGATTCTTTTTCATGGCATCGCACGGTGACGCCGAACCCTTACGACTCGCACATTCCCTAACAGCATTGTAGACCGCGTTCACTGAAAAATAAAGCAAATAAAAAATGTGCCTACGATAATTTATAAAAAGTATTACTTACCTTTTGTTTGATATTGCATACACACGGCTTGTTCACCAGCGGGTGGATTCTTACAGTTTCGAGCTTTGAGACCGTTTCCACTCCAACATTTATCATCTTTACTTTCGCATTTCATGCAAGTGAGACCAATCACTTTATAAAATCCAAAAAATAATTTATATAGAACATATTGGTATCTACTGGGTACCTACCTTCAGAAACACAGAATACGAAGAGAGTAATAAACAAAATTTTAAAATACATGGTGTTTAATTCTACATGAACTGGGAGACGTGCCTATTTATACATCAACTCAAGTGGTAGTAAAATCGTAAACAATTATATCAATTTTGTGATAAAGAATGAGATTGGAAGATTGTATGTAGGTACATCTACCTAGGGGCGACAGGATGTTGCTATGGCTTAGGTACTTCCCGTAACAGCTCCAAAGGGGATGATGAGCTGGTTACGTTAAAAAGACTGTGTACATTAATTTCTAGATAATTTGTAATGACGGGTATTCTTCGCGATACATTGATGTTTGGGTATTTGTAATTTTTTCAGAAATAAGTGTTGATATGCGACACCTCTAAATATACCTACAATCTAAAAGTATAAGTACCTACCTACTTCATATGGCTCACATGCGGTTGATAAACTGATTACATTTAATAAATAAGTACTTCAATTTTGTTGACATAGAAAATTCCACACCTAACAGAGAAATCTTGTTTTTGTCAAAAATAAAGATATATTGTTTGGCGAGGTACCTACCCTTTCTTCTTTCAATACCTACTCTCAGAGATAAACCGTAGAGGCAAAAAAATTCAGAGATCATCACTATTATATTCACACCTTGTGGCAAGTAGGTATAGTTCGGTGCATCATTTTGTGTCTAGGCGCTAGCCAATAAATCGGAACACCAGACCGGATCTAGAGTCTCCACCGTCTCTACTGACCTTACCTGCGGGTCGAAAAAATACGACGTTCCTATAGTAAATGGGAAAAGTAACCAGTTCAAGGTCCTACCATTGGCCGTTTTCAACAAAGGTCCGAAAAACAAGTGATGGAGTCTGAAGTTCTTGCCTTTTCTGCTATGTAGGTATATATGTGGATGGTATGTTGGTGGCATCACACAGCTGGTACAGCCTACAGCAGCACAAGTGATAGTTGCAAAATGATGTTGGTCAAGTTAGAAAAGTCGCCGAAGTGTTATAACGGGGTAAAGGGGTGCATGAGTATTTATCTCAGTACATCCTCAAAGGAGAAATGAAGATCGAGTCCATCATCGTGGGTGCCTGTGGCGACATCAAAAGCCAGTTGTGCAAGATACTCAGGAATATCCGAGGACAAGACCTTTGTTGGGTAATAATCAAATTGGAAAACAACAACGAAGACAAAAAGCAGAATATATTGTGCCGATGTTTCAAAATGAATTCCATTTGTTAAAACGAAATTATATTAGTTTAACGGATGAGAGGAATTGTAAATCGTTTGGAAGGTTGTGTTCAAGATACTGTAACAGTAACGGCAATGCACATTGGTCGATTTGCCCACTACCTTTATTTGGCATTTCAGTTTTCCTTTTATTGTGTGTGTCAAATTTATCTTTAAAAACAACAACAGATTAATCTATAATGTAAAAGCGACTGAAATTATTGATTGAATGCTTTTCTATATGCTGTTGTAACCGGCTGGTTACTTTTCAACTCTTCAGTTCCTACCGTTTCTTCCTCAAGCTACTTTATTTCGGGGTGGTTCTTCTTACATAAAACAATTGTTGTTGCGCTCCGGCTAGCATTCAGTGCAGCAGATGGTCCTTTTCTGGCCTCGAGGAATGGGAAAGGAGAAATGAATAAAAATCAATAATCTTTATTAAAACCTATTAAGTTCTTATTTTCTTAGAAATTCTCCTTTAATCTGTAAGTAACACCAAAGACTATAGGATAGGTACTATCCTATAGTCTTTGGTAACACATGTTAAGGCTGGACAGGACACCTGTTTCGTTGCCCGAAAACACTTGACTTCGTTCCACGATATCTGAATTCTGAGTGAAGATGAAGAAGGGGTCGAATATTCCTGTGAAAGGTGAATGCTTTAGCTAGACAATAACGCCGGGGTTTACTAAAATGTTTTAAAATAATCTTTTTTTTAAGGGCAACGTCGAGGGCTGTTAGGGTGTCATATTTTGGAAAAGAAAAAAGGAAATAAATTTTCCTGGCGTTATTGCCTAGATATTAAGTTTACGAACGTATCTTAATTTTGGAAATTGTTCCAACTTCATTTATAGATAAGTTATCTTGGAAAAACAACTTAAAAGTTTTTCTAAAAAGCGCGAAAAGATAGCTTCCGCCGCGTGGCTGGTTTTATACAGATAGAAAATGTGACTAAGTTTATGTTTTTACCATCGAACACAAATTAATATTATAAATAACCAAATTTGGGGATTGACAATAGGCAACTTTACATACTCCGTTCTGTATGTACTGTCCAGCCTTAAGAGAAATGGGGGTTGAGGCGGCACATTCCTGTAAGAGCAAGGTTAACTGATTCATTCACAAAACTGCACTGCATAAAAAGGAAAATGTATCTTTATTATGTTAATTGAAATCAAAATGTTTACTCTAGGACCGCCGAGTACAGAAAGAAACTTACTTTTTGTTTCAGAGAGTAATATAGGTATAACCATTGAATAAAAACATAGTGTTTTTATTCAATGGTATAACTCAATCAACAAACTGCTGTAAGTATGTACCTACGTGTCGTAAATCCTAACGCTTCCCAGGTTCGAGTCGTTAACATGAAACCAAACAGTACTCACAAGCACTTATATGAACGCAAAACACCAGTAGGAAATTAAATAGCCTTTACAAATATACAGACATACTACTGTTCTATGATAAACTACAACACAATGATCTACAACGGGGCGAACTACAAAAAAAAGCTCTATCATTATTTATAAATACCTTTTAAGGTCAATTGTTTATGTGCACCAGGAGTCGAACGCAATCTTGGTCTCTCTCCGATTGATGTTGACGTTGAAGTAAGTTTGGGGCCGCCCACTGCAGGCTATACTTACTATTCGATTTTGGTTCGGCCAATCACAGAGGCTTCAGTGTGACTTCTATGGATACCCTCCACGCACACGGACCGCGTTTAAAATAAAAAGTGTTAACTGTTCTTCGTAAATCTCGCAATCTTCCTAATTTTCTCCGGAGTGCCCTGAAGATCGTCTTCAGCTTAAATACGGTGGCTCGATGCAGATGGTCCCGCTCGGTTCTTTACTTCTATTTTTTTTAAATGTCGGCTCGATTCGCTTATTACAAGAATACGCGCTAATTATTTACGGGCGCCACCGGCAGAGATGTTTCTCCGTGAAAAGACGGCGGGCAACTTCTGCTCTGCTTTGCTGCTGGAAATTTCCGTATTTATACTCTCTTATTTCTGCTTTACGCGCACAATCCACTTTCGTTTATATAAATACAGCTCACCCATGAATAAAGCTTTTGCTAATTTGGCAGTGGTAGCGAACAGACGGATTTAAGTCGTTCTACTAGCTCTAGATTGATTATTTACAATGACTCGGACTTTGACCTTATATTAGCGTTAATACTCGACACTCGTATGCAGTTTTTCCCTAATTTACTTTATTTACTTACATAGTATGAACTAAATTCTATTTACATCGCGCTCATTGCTTAACTCTTAATTTTCTTTCTGATTCATGGCGCCTATATTTAAAATCCACATTCGGATACAATGAACTAAAATAAATTCTAATAAATAATAAATGCAATAATCTCATGCAAGGTTATTTTATTTCAAAGGTTACCTGGTAACTATGTGGGCGGAAGCGGGAGGGACGGAATGTATACGTCATCGAGAATACAGACATTGACGTTCAACGTTGTTTGTAGTCGCGCGGATGCTTATTTTTCTTGAGTTATAGTTTATTTGTTTAAAATTTGTTGAATTTTGAAGTGCATAAGGACATATATTATAGCTGTAGATACCTTTTTGGTGCAATATAAAGACATTTAGTTTGTGAATTTTGTGGGTTTTCATAGCCGTGATTGAAAGGTTAGTTCATCAATTATATGCACTTTTGTATGTTATAATTAAGTATTTTATTTTTCATTTGCCTATTACATGTCAATTATATCTGTCATATGTGATATATGAAGCAGTCTATTACGCCCAAGGGCATAATGAGAGGGCATAATGGATTGTCATCTCATTATGCCCTCAAACGGCCTGTCAAATTGATTGACGGAGTTATATTATGTCATAAAAAAGATGCAACTTGATTCGTATGGAGCACTTTAATGTTGGGCAAACAATAATCATGACATTTGTATATTGGAAATGCATTCTTTGGAATGATGAAAAATAAAATGTTGTATGCACCTCAGGCATTACTCAGTATTTAACCCTCGGGCGACTGACAATCCCTCGGGCCGGAGGCCCTCGGGCTCGGTCGCCCCCGGTCTAAATATCGCCTTAATGCCCTTGATTCATAAATAACTATTTTAGATGAGTGGCGGTAACACTAAAATTCCTCATTCTGGTGTAAATAAAATCTCAGTTTTTACGTTTCCCAAAGACCCTACCGTTTTTAAAGAATGGGTCAGAAAATGTTTCACATCCGGCAGCAAACTAAAACGTGCTGCGCCCTCATTGGTCACAGCGGCCAACCGATGAAAGCGTAGCGTCCCTGGCCGCAAACATTTAAAAGCAGAGCCACGAACTCTGCAAAGTGCAACACAATTTCTGCTTCGACTGAACTTCAAGAAACAAAAATCTCTCCACCTGCAGAACCAGGTCGCCTTGCCGATCGACCTTGCGCCACACTCCATCAGTCAGAAGACCTGCATCTGGGCTCACCCCAACGGCAGAGCTCGCCGTGTGCACCTCGGTTACCATTTTGCACATACTATAAATATACATATTCCAGTTTAATACGGTAAATTGAGCAGCCGAAATTTCAAGAATTCTGTTGACGCACTCCACGCTACGCTCGTGCTTCAAACACACTCGTGTGATAATAAGGCGTCTTATTAAACTTGTATAATAATACACTATTTTTAATCACAACCATTGAATAAAACGTAGTAAGTGGTTTTAGTATCTTATTATTCAGATTTGGTGGCTTTGTCTAGATTGTACCATGGGTGGGTAAATTTAGAGTTACGCAGTCTTGGGACCTGGATATAGTAAGTACGTTACAGGCTAAATAGGTGGTCCTACGCTTTTGTAGTAGTCACGCCATTGTATATGTATATTACAGATACAATTAACAATGGTACTGCGAATATAATTTTTAAGTTTATTCAAATTAGAGACATTACGTTATTCACACTGCGAATACCTATCGATATGTTACTTAAACACTGCAGTGCGAATAGGCACTTCGATGATTAAAATCTTTTTAAGCGATTAAGAAGCGTATCTCAATGTAACCAAGAGTGACCTAACCCATTGTTTAAATATTTTAATTTAAACAATGCCTAACTCTAGTTCGCTCAGGTTTTTCTCACAATGCACTCAAATGGCAACTGCATTGCACGTACTTCTAATATGGCTTGGGTAAAAGGGTTTTTGGCAGAGAACTTAATGGGGGCGTAGATACGTGACTTAACAATAGGCCTCATTGCTACTACTTTTACACCCTCCCGATGATTTCACATTTCGTCCGTGCTATAATTAAAGACAAAATTAGTGCAAATGTCAAAACCACCTATGCCAAAATAGTAATCCTTGACCCCAATAATTATTTAGTCCACTATATAGGTATGTATGGTCAGTAGAGCGACCACCTGACGTATGCACGATATGCGAGTATCAAGACGGTCACATTATTGATTAGTACAACCGCGTCGTCTCTATCGGCAATGGAGGCATCGGGACGCGACGCATACGAAAACAAATACCTCTAATTATAACAATGTCCTTTTAATGCCGTGTAGTATTTGCATAATGTGTAATAAAATTAAATGTTAAGTATTAGTGGCCTAACGAGTGTTTATTGGTATTAATTTCTTCAGGATGGGTTCCCTAGTGCTTAAATCGTTATCAATACTTCTAGGATTATTTTTTATTTTCGTTGGATTTATGAAGTTATCCAGTCACATTTCAAAGGATCTACACAAAGATTTGGTAAGTAGAGTGAAGGTTAATTTCTGTCCCCGATTACACAACGCCGGTAATCAGATATTTTAGAATTTGGCGCGATGCCCCGTTCCCGGATAATTAAATTTGCTCGAGAATGTGATTGTATTATTATTATTTCGTTCGATCTTTTGTTTCTAAACGATTTATTTTCAGAGAAGGGAATATGTGAAGTATTCGAAGGTGTTTCCTTTCTCCGAATCGTTTGATTTAAAAATACCGAGCAAATGGTACAGAAGGACCGTCGGCGCTCTTGAGATCGCCTGTGGAATTGCCATGGCGTTCATTCCTAACCGTTAGTATGAGTTTTTTTTTGCGTTTAGGTCTTAATTGGTACCTACTTGTTATGCCCTTTAACGTGGAAAGGCCTGTAGTCAAAATTATTTATTTTTGGATTGCGTTAAATGTGGGTTGGGGTCAAATTTTTCGATTTCTGTAAAAATAGCCGAATTCGTCAGAAATCTGCAAATAAATAGATGAATATAGACGCACACGGGGAATATGACGATTTATAATAAACTTTTTTATGTTTTGCTTGTTAATTCAAACTTTTGGTTTATATAGCTTTTTTATAGACTTAGGTATTAATTAGCAACCAAAGGTGAACATGTGCAGAGTGCACCTGTAAAATGACAATGCACGACATACAGCACCTCCAATCCCAGAAGAAATTTCTTTTCTCTAGACTATAAACATAGGTATAACCTACCACCAAAATAAAAATTCATGTCATCTACGCATCTAAGTTAGATACATACCTACCTCTTTTTGTTTTCTTATGTGTACCTATATCTACAAGGTATAATAATTTCATAAAGAAATTCCATCACATATAAGCACAATGAAGGACTGCCGTTTTTGTTTTTTACTGTGTAGATAGCGGTAGAAAGATAAAATTTCGTCCTGATGAAGTTCTCTACTGTTTTGTGATTGCTTGGCATAGTATAATTGTTGAAAGGTGAACTCCACAAAAGAGAAAATACGCCAATTTTTATTCGATATAGACGAACACGCAAGCCAAGTGACTGAAAATGTGAATAATACCTAAGTATTTATGGTGCTGATACAGGTAACTGTCCTTGTCCATCACGCGCAGTGCTAGTTTCGTCTACACCGTGGCGTGCTTGTATTCCTGTCCCAGTGAAGACGATATCTTTGTATATTTCCTAGGGAATGCAATCCCGCAGCAAAATCTCAATCCCGGTATTTGCGGGATCGTTAGATGTTAATCCCGCGGGATCCCGGTATTTGCAGGATCCCGCAAAATTTTAATAAATAATAAGCAATTTGTGCGGTTAACATATGTATTAAAATAAATCGATAATTATCACAATATTCAACAAAAAAGTACCTTCAACCTAACTTAGAACTCAAAAAACCTCACCTGTAATTTGTAAAGCACAAAAAAGGTGAACTATTTTAGAAATAACTTTTCCGTTACGCATTTCATTAACAAAGTAAACAGAATCGTCCCCTTGGTCGACAAATTCCTCAGTCCCGCAAATTCCGCGGGATCCCGCTCCATGTATGTGCGGGATTAATCCCGCAAAAATACTGCGGGATCCCGGTATTTCGGGATCCCGCGATCCCGGTATTGCATTCCCTATTTTTCAACCAATCTTTCTTCGGGAACCAAACACGATTTTCCTTTTGGTTCCATCATGACCCACAAATAGGTATTCCTTTTTTCGGCGATGTAAGATTTAAATTCCTTTCCAGTCTCGATTCGCCCGGTGTACGTTTGCAGCGGTGTTACGTTGATATTTCGGGCTGCCATTATTGGATTTGGGGATTCTCCGTTTAGCCTCGCTGTTGGGTGACGACATGGAATGGTAGTTTGATAAATTGCATTAATAAATTAGAATTCTTCCGTGGAGTTGCTCGGGCTTGTTCTTGACAAAAATCCAGGAAGGAAAATAAAATAACAATTTTTATCGCGTAACGAACAGGTAGATAGTTGAAACAAATAATTGGAAAACACTAAAATAAATTCGAATTGATTGGATAATACAATTCAAATCTACATAAAATTCGCCTAAAATTCGAATGAATGAACAATCTTGATTCGTCTTAAAAGAAAATGCGAATTTATACAAACAATTAGTCCGGCGCTATGGCAATGGGCCGCAAGACTTTAGGACCCAGACATTAGGACGCGGACATTGGACCGCAAGACAGTAGACCGCAAAGGGAATAGACCGTTACATTAGGCCGCGGACATTAGGACGCAGACATTGGGATGCAGATATTGGGTTGCTGACATTAGAACGCAAACATCATGCAAGTTACCTTACAAAGCAGATATTAGGTTGCAGGTAGGACAATGAAAGGTATAATGAAATTAAACCAATGTTATTTTACTTATTTCATATCTGTGTAAAAAGGTTTTAATGTCAATTTAGTCCTCAATACAAATAAACTAAAAAAATATAGAAAACGAGCTCTTGGATATGGCTATAGCATGTGCAAAACCAAATTTTAAACCTGATGTTACTTCTATTTAAAGTGTATATGTCTGAAATTTCATTTGAATGCCTCCATAAATAAGAAAGTTGGTACAGCGCAAAATCAAATTTTGAAACTGGCGTTAAATTTGCTTTTAGTCCAAGTGGCTATGTATCAAATTTCATTTAAATGGTTCCATAAATAAAAAAGTTGGCACTGCGCATGCGCAAAACCAAATTTTGAAACTGGCGTTTGATTTTCCTTTGTTCCAAGTGCCTATATATCAAAGTTTATTCAAATACTTTTATAAATAAAAAAGTTTGCAATTCGATTTATAAATGGTCGCGATGTGAATTTCATGCAATTCGGTTCATAACTAACGGAGATGTCAAAAAGGTCTACTTTATTTTTTGGGCTACATTGCCAATTCACGAACTCCGATCTACAAATTTGATAAAGAATCCATCTACTAAATTTTGTAGTAATCGGCTCACTCGTTATCAAAATATATAGTGCTAACGGGCGGACACACGGACAGACACCGCAAAATTATAAACTCGCTAGGAGCTTGTTAATAATCCGTGTAAAATGATTAGTATCAACTTCGACGCCAATGGGGGTCCGGGGACGCCGAAGCGGTCTCGGATGAAGGATGCGGTCCCTCGTGAGTTCGGAGCCGGAGGGTCGCGCACGAATTTGATGGCTGCTTGCTTTATTTCAAGTGCAACAAGGATGAAACTACGTACCTGCGTCCTAATGCCCGCATCCCAAAGTCTGCGTCCTAATGTCCGGGCCTAGTCTGCGATCTATTCCCTTTGCGGTCTAATGTCCGCGTCCTAATGTCTAGCGGCCTAATGCCCGGTCCCGAAATAGTCCTACTGATCTCCATTTGCAGTACAATACGTAGCCACACATTACCTTACAACTATGACGTAGCGTATAAAGCGTAGAGTGCAACACATTCACAAAACGTACCATAAATGTTTCTAATGTAAATATTATAGTCATTTGCTTTGCAGTGTTGTAACAACGTCGAATGATTCCAGATTAATACGATTGCAAGTGTAAAATGTTTGGTCTATTGTTGTGAATAGTTTTGTATATGAGTAGGTACTGTCCTACATCCATATAATTTATGTGGGTGGTGTATAAGGGTAATATCTGGGCTAAGTGCGAATAGTTTTCTATGTGAGTAGTGTCCTATTCCAATATAATCTATGTGTGTGGTTTTCAAGTATTATCTGTGGAGTGTATTTGTAGTATGGTGTGTTATCTGTTATGAGAGCTAATTTTTGATGTATCATTTTAGTTACTTGATTATGTCAATGTATGTATTATTCTGTGTGTACAAATCGTATACGTGACGATAGTATGTGTTAGATTGTTTCTGGTGTCTTCCACTATGTGTGGTATGTATATTTTGGATTCAGGGTTTTGGTATTTTTGTTATAATGTTGTTCACCCATTTGGCATTTAGCAAACATTTTCTGACTAACATTCCCCTGTAGCAAATCGCAGGCCATTGGAATACTAAAGTCACTAAATATAGAAAGTACCGCAATCCATTGGGCTCGTGTGTTAGAGAGAGGACGCATGATTTTTGCCCAAAAATGACGGAAGTTACCAGATTCTAGTAACTTTAATGTTAGGGATTGTTCCACCTGTTTGGAGATATCTGTATATATTTTTATAAAACATGACAATACTATGAAGTTAGGTTATAAAAAATTACAGCTATTCAAATTTTATTTGTCAATTTTTTTAAGTTGGCAGCAAATTTGCCCAAAAATGGCGGATGATTGCGGTACTTTCTATATCTAGTGACTTTACTATTTACGATTAAGTAACGCCATCTGTTTTTTTAGATAAAGTGAAGAACGGAGCAAACATCTGTCTACTTGTGTTAACTTTAATGGCCGTCTACTCCCATTATATGGTCGCGGACAAATTGGAACGGACAGCTCCAGCGTTGGTGTTTCTTTTTATGCTGAGCGGCAGGTTGGTAGTCTACTGGCAGTTGACACGTCGCGAAGCAGAGCAAACGCAAACTCAAGTAAACGGATTTAAACAGGAATAACGCGGGAAAACGGCAGATTGGTATCTAATACATACATAACGAAAATGTCAAAACTTGCTCTTATTAGTCAAAATAATGTTTAGATGTTATTGAATGAAAGAGAAGTAGAGTTCTGAACGGAATATCTTAATCTTCCTTTTGTATGACACTGCCATTGATGTGAAATGTGTTGTTTTAAGTATCAGATCCAGTAATTGTGTAATCTAAAATACTGAATTGTTAAATTTTGAAGACATTTTCCAAAAATACAATAAAGTTTTCCAATCGGTTATGTATTATTATGTACTTTACGCATGTATGTATATGAGAAGCTACCTAATACCTATATCTACCTTCATCAGGCCAGGGGTCCTAAAGATCTTAATTGCTAAACATTTTGAGCGTCAAATAAATCCTTCTATTCAGAAAACTAACTATACTCGTAGAATGTCATGTTAGGGCGCATATGTGTAGGTATACGAACTTGAGAAAAAGCTACTTAATTAATTGTTACCCAGATTCACAGAATCCGTTAATCCTTAAAAAAATTAACGAGCATAAAAGTGTCAGCACGATGTTGAGATAATGAAAATTTTTAATTAATTTGAGATATTGTTGTTTCACACTGTGGGAACTCGTACTTAATTACTGAGGTACCACTCATGATGCGATCCCTCCGTCTCATCTCACTACGACAAAACGGTCTGATTTATACAGACCATTTAACATGATGTATGTTCGCTGGTCCACGTCCTCATTGTATGGTTTTTGTGGTATTCAAATTTCTGTTTACATCATTTTGAAAGTGGAAGCTTTTCTAAACATTACATTTCACCTTAACCGAATAGGGTCTGCATTACCAGTTAGGTACTAAATGTTTACTCGATTCCATCTATTAACAGTTTTGATATGAAAATTACCATAGTAACTACCCGGCAGCCTAAGATGCGTAGAATGAGCGTTCTCTAAAACATTAATAAGTGATATGTATTAATCAGTTGTGTGGGAAACTCATCCGGAATGGAAACCCCTCAAGAATCAACACAGTTTTCGCTTAAATTTTACGTTGGAGAATGCTATTGTCTAAGGTAATCGCCCCCTCACCATTTATCAAAAGGATTGGCCAAGACGGGAGTGCCATAAAGCTTTGTTCCTAGCTAAATTTGGGCACAAGTCAGCTATTTTGGTTAAACTTTGATTTTATGTCAAAGTTTTATCGAAGATTTGTATGATCATATGTTTATACGGACCGGTAATCATATTATAAAGTGTTTTCAAGATAAAACTTCGGATACTAGGAATACCAATCAAATTAGGAAAACATGAAAGATTACTAAATGCGTATCCACAAGAAATAACAAGGATATGATTTGTGTACAGATTAAAAAGTACCTGGTAGGTAATATCTTGACCAGTCCTCAAATTCATTTTCTATCGGGTTTTGAAAAAATAAGTTTAATACGAAAGTTGTTTGGCCCAAACACAATATTTCACATTTGGTAGGTAGATTAATTACCTATATAGGGCGTCCCAAAAGAGCCCCTCCCTCCCTAACTTAAAAATTCTAAGTGGGATTTGATTCAACTTTTGTTGAAATTTGAAAGAATTCAAATTTGAAGCTTTGTATCTTGATAACTACGAGTATATGGAATAGGGATTGGTTTATGGCTTCAGTCTGAGTAGAAAGACATGAAAAGTGCATTTTAAAGGGGTCGTGCACAAACAAATGTTATTAGTTATTACTATCAAACTTGGTTGAATCATCAATAGAGGGTTGCAATCAAATGTTTTGATTCGGATGCAAGCTTAAAACGCCACATGAAATACTTCTAAACATGACTCTTAGGATTGGATTTTTGGCGATTGATGGTAAAATACAGGCCGTCGTCACCGGATGTTAATTCTTCTGGTGGTCAGTACAATTTTGTTCCGCAGATTGCAGTGGCAGACACGAGCATTTTAACTGGGCGATTATTAAAATTTGATTTGACGTTTATGGAAATCTCTTTTACACTAAATGCCATTTTTCTTAGCGGCACAGATATTAACTTCAATATTATTTGGTTTTACTAACAGTTTTCTTTGTTGTAATTTCGTCTTACACATAAATTTAAACTCAACTTCCTCTTACTTGATTACACTGCGTCAACACGCGGTAAAGAAATTAGCTGACGAGCGCTTTTTATTTACAATGCCGGACTGTGCTTTGTACTAACTGAAATCGACACGACTACGAATTATTTCCACTCCCAGACTGGAATGGGCACCCTGTATACATAGTTAATTAGTAGATTAGCATGTGCCGAGTTAGTTGCTTTTCGGCTTTGAAACTGGGATTATTTAATAAGAAGTAAGAGAAAGAGAAGAATTAATTTGGGAAATTAGGGACATTGCAGGGTAATTCAAATTTGTGACTGGCCATTGCGATCTCCGCAACGGTGCGAAATACAGTGCAGGTTAAATAAGGCCATATATTCCCACTAATCAATTTCAAATATCTATAATTATTATATTTCTCTACTTCGCGGCAATTAAGGTTGTAAATAATAATCACGGACTTTCCAAACGCGAATATATAACAAAAACAAAAGTTTCAATTAGTGCTATAATTTGTAGTCTTCATTGTAAATATTATATGGGCGCAATATAAGCGCATAACCAGTTTATTAAACTAATGAAAATGTAAGGTAGTACGCCACGTTTCGAAAATTGTGAGGTAAATCCAACGCCGCGAAACTACCTATCTCTCACAAGTAAATAGATTAAAAAATGTAGGTACAGTTTTAGGCTGTTAAATTTTGGAACGTGTGACCATAGTTCATTTAAATTACACCTTGCAACCGAGTAAAATGGAAGCTAATTCATAAGAGTTAATGTATGCTTGGACAGATACTACATATATTAAGTACGCGTCCGCTATATGTAAAGTCATAATTTAAATTGCGTTAGCGTGCCAGCATAAGTTTCATGGAACTTTTCTGTAACTGTTATAAAGTACCTATCTAATTGATACGTCAGCTCTCTTAAACTGACAGAATTTAGGAACTCAAGTGGCTAACATGGGATATCTTAATTAGTGTTATTCAAAAATTATACCCAATAAACAAAAGTTCAAGTGAAATTAAATCAATGTGGTACTTGCAATGGAATCTAAAATCTCGCATGTACGGTCACCGACTAAAGTAATGATAATCGGAAGCTTACTGCCAATTAGGCAACGTTGAAGGTTGAAGGTAAATTTTCCGGTGGGATTCGGGTGGAATGCGTCGCACGGCGTCGTGCATTGTCGTCGTTGCTTGGGCGTTTCTTCGTCACTGCCTTGTAAGTAAAAAAAATCCACTGCAATTCTTTGTCGGACAACGAAAATGGAGAGAATTCCTCGAAATTCGTTGTGTACATACTTGATGAGTTAAGGAACAAAATTGTCGAACAGTTTTTTAAAATCACTTTTCAAACAATAATTATAGGTACCTACTCGTTTGAAGTTTGGGTCTTCGGGTTACAAAGTGTCTCCCGCCTACTAGTGAGTAATCTAATTTCGCAAATAGTGAATTGAAAATGTCGCAACAAAAAATAACGATCTAAGTCGATGGCATAATCAAATTTGCAATAAAAATGCATCAATTTTATGAAGTTTTTGTGTATGTCGGTTAGTCTATCGATCCAAGCAGATTTACTGGCTGCCTTGCTAAAAGTACTTACTTGCTCTAAAGTTAAAGTAGTCACAGACGTCGTTCTTTTTGGGCAGTTTTAACCTCACAAGTAAACACGCACAACGACAATATACACCAACTAGACGTTGTTTCATTCAGTTTTTCTGAAGTCTAGACGGCAGTTGTGGCCGACTTCCTTGGCAACACGTAAGTATATGGCTTCTATACAGGGCTTAACATCCCCCTCGGATTATAATTCCTTTATCATAAAAAATAACAGTCTTAGAACAAAATTGTACGCAATTATCGCCGGCATGTTTCTAAAATATTTTTGATCACCAGGAGCGTGCTGTATATCAGTGGCGTATCAAACTTGCATTTTTTTAAAATTAAAATGAAACACCCCATATTTAATTACTGATTTGGAAAGTACTTGAGAAGTACTTCTTTTTTTATGTAACATGTTATACTTTAACGATTTCGCTGTTAAAACCTTTGTTTAGGGAGGTGCAATTTGAAATTTTTAAAAAATTTAACATTTGGCGAATGTCAATCAAAAATTTAATTTTTTCAGTAAAGTTAATTTTTTTAGGTATACCTAAAAAAATTATGTGATTGTGAAAGAGGTCTTAGCCTGTGGCTCAGTCCAAAAACTTTCTCTCAAAAAAAAAACTGTCAAATTTTGACATAAAAAAATAAGTCGTTTTTAAGTTTTTAAGTACGGTTCAACCATTTGGCCGGAAATGATAGTTCAGACGGACCGACAGACCGACTCATCGAGATTTTGTTTGATTCGGATTCCTGGTTTTGAATAACGAAATCACTCAACGGTAATAAGTCGAATATCCTAATTAAAGTTCACAATTACCGTTTAACCTTAGGTACTTACTCTTAGATAAAGAAAACGTTGGCAATGGTATGATCTTGTAGCTTACACACACCATTTGTACCATAGGTAAGTAGATTTATAATAAAACGACGCCTTCAGATATGTCAACACTTCCTTTAGCTTCATTATGTATGCACTAACGCTAAGTAGTAATTTCGAATTGCAATGACGACTGTTGAATGAATATTGACATAACGTTATGTATTTACGATTAGCCAAGTTATTGATTTAAAGTGGCTGATGAGTACATAAAGTTTACAATATGTACCTACATGTAAGTGAAGAAAAATACCAACATGAAAAGATGTTTAACGCTAAGAACGTGTTTAATATACAACCATTTTTCTACCTAATCACTTTTTTTTACATGTCGTACTATAGGGTAGGTACCTACTCCATATGTTGATTTTTGATTGGTTGGATTCAAGCAATTTTCGCATCAAGTGTTGATAGCGGACATCGTGGATGAGGTGATTTTTGGAATAAACCTGATGAGAAAATTCGGCTTCATGAATCACG